GAAAAATTTGATAAAAATTACAAATTTTACAAATAAATTTTGTAATATAAAATTCAATAAAAGTCCAAATTTATATATGATTATCAAGAAAGATACAATTCATTACGATGTACAAGTTTACTTATAACACCAAAGTTAATTTAATTAATAAAAAAAATTTTTTTCTTATGACGCTAATGTATGTATTATTATTCCGATTTTGATAAAGTCAGTCATTTTTACTAGGTGAGTGTACTATTCTAATAACAAATGCTATAACATTTTTAATTAAAGATTCTTATTTAAAAGGATGATATGATTTGATTAAAGGAGTAGAAGGATTTTTTAATTTTTCTTCATTATGTTTCATAGCAATATCTTTAGTAATATGATGTGTACCTAATAAATGTATTGATAATGAACTTAAAGAATCGTATTATGAAAGCATTTCTTCACAGCTTTTGTGTTATCTTCATTAAGCTTAAAGAATCTTCATACCTAACTTGTTTTAGGTTATATAATTTTAGTTAGGGGTTTTCTTTTTGACTTATTATTAATTTTTAGAAAATCTGCTTTAAGATCATCTATAATTATATCAGAAATATCAGATATTGTAATATTCTGTAATATTATATGACTGCTATCTTTAGCTTCACTATTAAAATTATTTTCACTTCCTTCTGTAAATGTTAATTGACTTGTTTTAGCTTCATAATCTGAATCACTTTTACTTTTTGTTAATTCTTTTTGTATTAAGTTTGTCTCTCTTGCTGCTTTTACTTCTTCAAGTATTCTTTTATGTTTATTTCACATAGTAGTAGCTATTTTTTAATCAAATAAATCAAATAAAAAGTTTTAAAAGTGTAAGAATTTATTTATACAAATAACGATCAATTTTTATTTTAATAATATTATTACTGATATATAGATAGTAAAATAAACAAATTTAAAAAAAAAGAAATAAGAATAAATATGTAATAAGAGAATAAATAAGCCTTTTTTATATGTTCTGCTAAAATATATTTTTATTTATAAATAAATAATTCGTAAGATTATTCAAAATTTAGTATTAGTTTATTTTTGTATTTATAGCGATAGAGTTAACATAAAATAAAGGTTTCAAAAAATAATTCACTAATTGTTCAAAAATTTAGCGTCAAATTATTTTTGATTTTGAACAAATGAATTATTTATTTGTGTTGTTAACAATTTTAACAAAAAGATTATTTCTATTGTTAATAATTTAGATAATTAATATATGTTTTAATTATTTATTATAACTAATTTCATTTTATTATTTTAAATTAATATATATATTTGAGACTAGTCTTAACAATTGTGCTATTCAATTCTAATACAATTCTGGTTAATTAAATGATGATTAGAATTTTTTTATATTAAATATATAAACATTTTAGTTGAATAATAAACTTCAGAATTTTAGTTAGTATGATTAATTTGCATTTGAAATTAAAGTTAGTGATAATCAAAACTCAATTTAACCATCAGAATCACATGTAAATTTAAAAATGATCTAAACAATTATTCATCTGATTTTAATACAATTTTAGTTAATTAAATACTAAGCAAAAAAAGTTTTTCAATTGATGTCAATTGATTATTTTTTTACAATAAAAATTTCAATTAGAATTTTATATTAGTGTATTTCTAGATTTATTAAATTTTTTTTTACCAAATTACCAAAGATATAAAATAAAAAATTTATTTTATTTCTGGATTTATTACTAATTTTTAATCATTTTTTTTATTTATCAAATTACCAAAAAAAATACAATAAAAAATTTAAATTTAAATTCAGCTGATTTAAATCATATTTGCAGATCATCAAAATTTTCTGAATCTTTTTTCTTCTATATATTGTAAAAAATGTATCTCATACTATATGCATAAATGCTAACTAAATTAATAAATCTCTTCTTTTCAGAATAGCAAATAACACAATTAGTATAATATAGCGTATTCTATACTTAGTGCAAATTAGTGTAAATTATCAGCAAAATGTTTTTTATTTTATATAAAAGGATTAATAATTTTAAATAATCTGTTTTTAAAAAATTTATTTGATACTAATAGATAGGGATTTGATAATAGTATAGCAGTATGCTATCATATACAAATCATTAATAAATCATTTTTAATAAATAAATGTTAATTAATGCTACTGCATCACAATAAATAGATTCAATTTTTTATTCAATAATCAATTAAATCAATTCTGATTCAATTTTTAATTGATTCAATTTTTGTAGAATCAATTCCAATCTCTAGTTTGTATTTATTAACTTTTTATCAAATTTACTTTAAGTTATCTTTTCTAAAATATTCACAGATATAAGCCAAAAGATCATTTTTATAGAAATTATATGTAAAATTAACATTAGAGTTACTTTATTTATTACTAAAATCTTTATTTAAATAATATTTTTAAATATAATAAAAGTTATAATTTTATTATAATAGATATAAAATAGCTATATTTTTGAAATTCCATTTCAATCATTATTGAAATTTATATAAAAAATCTATTTTGTTTAATTTATTAAAAAATATTAGCATTTTACAGTCAAAATTCATCAATCATCTAATTTTTGATTTATATATTATATAAGCTTATAATTTTATATGTTAATATTAGTATTATACTTGAATTTTAGAAAATTTAATAGACATTATTAATTAACTTTAAGAATTATGAAGAGTCAAATACTTATGACCGATACTATATCTATATATCTTGCTTTTTGTCATTCAAATAAAATTATATATTTATGAAAATTATTTCTTTTTATTAGTTTTAATATTAGCAGTATCTATTCTTTATTTTTATTTTCATATTTTTTATAGCTATAGATTTTATTTAAGAAAAGTTACCAATATTTAATAATTTATAAATATTATACAATATTATATTTATATTAATTAATATTATAAAGTAATATTAATTGATATAAATATAATATTATATAATATTTATATTATCATATGGCTAATGCAAATCATGCTTCATAAAATTTATTAAAGATATTTAAACTATTTTTTTATATTTTTTCTTATTTTTTTTTTTTATAAATCAAATTTTCTTTATTATTATTTATTAATATACTATGTAAAAATAATATTTATAAAAAACTTTAATAAATTATAGTATTATTTTATAAAATTTAAATAATTTACTTCAAATAAAAGTTTGAAAAAAATGTTAATTTCTTTTGTAAGATAGTTATTCTACTAATAATTAAACATGTGCAGTAGAAATATTTTATATTAATAATGATTATGAAGGAAAACTAAAAGAAATATCTGATATAAAAGTATTAAATTCTCAATTAGTATAATATTTAGCAGTAATAAAATAATAAAATAGTAAAGAGTATTTCATTTCTTCAATTAAAACAGTTGTTTTAGCAATTTATCACTATTTAAACTAACATTCTGTTATCAAATTACAATTTATATAATAATAAGATATTTAAAATTTTTGGCAGGTTTATACAGGAAAAATTAAATATTTGATAGATTTAGAATATAGATTAATTAATAAAGAAGTTTAAAAAATTTTAAATTATTATTTAATAGATAAATCTATATTATAATCATTATTTAAAAGAGTGGATTTTATAATGCAAAATTATTAGGTTTACATAGTAAAAAACATTTTTTATTTAATAATAGAAGATTTTAAAAAATGTGAAGATGAAGATTATGATATACTTATATATTAATTTAAAACTAATTAACTGAAAATTGTGATAAAACTGATAAACTTATTTTATCAAATAATTTTGATATAATTAAAGTTTATAAAAAATATTTTTCTTATTATTTTCAATAATCTGAGTTAAATATTTATCTCTAAAAATGTGATGAATAAAATGGTAAGCAAATTTAATATCTCTTTTTATTATATTAAATTATCTTAACAATTATTTTATAATATTAGCTTTATATATAAAATATTAGTATAGAATAATTTATATTGGTCAAAATTAATAAAAAAATTTTATGAATAAATATACAAAATGTATAAAATTAATTATACTAAATAAAAGATCATAAATACTTGTATAAAAACTTTAAATATTAGGATTTTCAATAGATTCTATAAATTAGTAATTCAGCATAAAAATATAGAAAGTTTAGATTTATATGAATTATTTAGAGATTAAAAATAAATTGAAATATTAAGTAATTCAATAGATAATATATATAATAATAATATAAAAAAAGATAAGATATATTACATATTAAATTTTTTGTCATTCTGTTAATAAAAAATATAATTTAATATAAAATCTTTTATTTTAAAGAATCAAATGCTAATATACTTGATAATACAAAAAAAAATAATGGATTTTTTATAACTAAAAAAGGTTAGAAATTATTATTAGAATTTTGTATGTATTTTAAAATCAAATTTAGATTTTATATATTAACATAAAATAAAGAAGTATCTGATGATCTTACTTTATAAAAGTCATTATAAGAAATTAATACTAACTTAAATTACTATAAACACAAATAATTTGATTAATTTGAATAATAGTAGAATTTTAAAAAAAGTTAATTTAAAAATTAATATTGTAGACGCTTAAAATCTTAGCTTATTATATTTACTAATATCAATATAGTATATAAAAATAAAGATATTTAATATCATATATAAATAAACTATTTAATATTTAATATTAAATGCAAATAAACTATTAGTGTTCAATATTATACAATGAATTAATATTTTGTATTATGTAAAAAAAAAGATCAAATAATATTAGCATAATCATATAATAATATCAAATACTTATGATTATTATAATATATATTTTATAATATTAAGTAATATTAGTTTAATAATTTTATAATTTATAATATAACTCATCTTATTTTTGTAACTAAAAATTATTTAAATACATTAAACTATTATATTGTAATTTGTGTATAGGGGCTGTAGGGAAAATTAAAAATTTCCATTTTTTGAAAATTTTTAATTTTCCCTACAACCCCTATATACTTTTATACTGATAGTTTAATATTATGATTCTTAAATTAATAAGTAGTTTTATTTAATAAATATTTTAGATTTTAATAAAATAGTTTTTTATCTTATAAATAAATTCAAGTATAATATTTTTCTGCTATATTTTTATTATCTATTAGTTAAATTATCTTTTAATACTTATATTAATGATTTATTAGAAATGATTATTTTAAAGTTAATAATTAGACTAATTATATTTTATATAGTAAAAGTTAAAATTGACTAAAAATATCTTTAACTGATTAATAATTGATTAAAATATTTATTAACTAATTTAATTAACCATTTAAAATTAACTTAAATCAGTATCACAAATTTAATAAATTTAGTGAAATTAAATAATATTTTTGCAATTATAAAAATCTTATTTTAATTAAAAATTAAATTTAACTGAAGTTAAATTTGTCTATTTTAACAGTTAAAAAATTATTAACTAATTAATATATTAATCACTTTAATATAGGTAGTATTCCGCATAGATTTAGATCAATCTGAATCTAATCCAAATCTGACAGATCAGATTCAGATCAGATCTGTCAGATTTAGATCTAATTCAGATTCAAATCTGATCTGTCAGATTCAAATTGAATTCAGATCTAATTTGTCAGATTTGAATTCAACTTTTTTAAAGTTGAAAAATTCCTTTTCAATGAAGAAGAACAAATTTTTAGATCTCTTTTAGAGTTGAAAAGTTCTTTTTATTAAAAGGAAACGAATTTTTAGATACTTTTAGATCTAAAAATTTATTTCTTTCATTGAAAAGAAACAAATTTTCAGATTTCTTTTAGAACTGAAAGTTTCTTTCATTGAAAAGAGATGAATTTTCAGACCTTTTTTAGAGCCAAAATTTTGATTTTTTTCATTGAAAAGGATGAATTTTCAGATCTCTTTTAGAGCTAAAAAGTTCTTTTCATTAAAAAAAAATGAATTTTCAGACCTCTTTTAAAGCTGAAAAGGTTCCTTTTAATGAAAAAGAATGAATTTTTGAAACTCTTTTGAAGCTAAAAAATTTCTTTCAATAAATAAGAATAAATTTTCAAAACTTTTTTAAAGCTAAAAAGTTCCTTTTATTAAAAAGGAATGAATTTTTGAATTTCTTTTAGAGCTAAAAAGTTCCTTTCATTGAAAAGGAATGAATTTTTAGACTTCTTTAAAGTTAAAAAGTTTCTTTTATTGAAAAGAACAAATTTTCAGACTCTTTTAGAGCTAAAAATTTGTTTTTTTATTGAAAAGAAACAAATTTTCAAAATTCTTTTAGAGCTGAAAGTTTTTTTCAATGAAAAAGAATGACTTTTTGAAACTCTTTTAGAGCTGAAAAGATTTCTTTCAATAAAAAGGAATGACTTTTTAAAACTCTTTTAAAGCTGAAAAGATTTCTTTTATTGAAAAAAAATAACTTTTCAGAATTCTTTTAGAGCTAAAAAGGTTTTTTTTAATGAAGAAATGACTTTTCAAAACTCTTTTAAAGTTGAAAAGGTTTCTTTTAATGAAAAGGAATGACTTTTTAGAACTCTTTTAAAACTGAAAAGGTTTCTTTTATTAAAAAGGAATGACTTTTTAGAACTCTTTTAATGCTAAAAAGATTTCTTTCATTAAAAGAAACATTTTTCAGATCTCTTTTAGAACTGAAAATTTATTTTTTCAATAAAACTTTCAGATTCAGATCAGATCAGATTTAGATTTAATTGATCTGTCAGATCTGAATTTGAGATTTGATCCGTCAAATTCAGATCAGTTCTGAATTTTAACAGATTTTTCAGATTCAGATCAGATTTAAATCCTGAAAAATGAAAATCAGATCAGATTGGATTTGGATAAAATCTGATCTAATTTGATTTTGCAGAATACTAAATACAGAATAATCTAAAAGAGCAAAATTTTAATAATAATAAATTGCAACTTATTTAATTTCAGTTAGGTAAATAGTAAATCTCTTAATATTAGTGAAAGAATTTTTAATAAATAATCTATTCATAATGATGATACATTTTTTCTATTTAAAATAGAATCAATTATGATTAACATTATAACTTTAAGATTATTACATCTCTTATTAATAAATTGTTTGATTTCAGTTTCTTTAATTTTTTGAAAATTGGCTTTGATAAGATAAAATAGAAAACTATGAATTTCTTTAAGTTAGCATTTAATAATATAGATATTGTCTAAAGAAAATATAGATGAGAATTCATTATAGAAAAAATTATATATTAGAGATGGTCTTTCAAATGATTAATTTAATTTTTTTAATTAATACTAAAAAACTATATATCATATTGTAAATCAGATATTTTTTAAATATAAAAATAATAGAACTAATTTTCTTGACAACAGTTTATTAATCTAGTTAATTGTATTTTTTTTATAAAGATTCTGTAATGAGACTTAAATTTATGAAATGCACTATTTATTTAAAATAATAATAGTATCTTTGATATTAATTTACAGATATTTATATTTGATACAATTAGTTAAAAGATCTATAGTCTTTTAAAATTATAATAGTTATAATAAAAATTAGTATATTTAGTGAATTTAACTTATTTGAAAGAATCTATTATTTTCAGATTAGAACTTAGTGATAAATTTAATAAAGTTTAAATTTGATGTATTGTTGATATTATAGATTGGTAAATAAGATAATGATAAATTTGTAATCTGTTAAATATAGATCAGAAATATCTATGAAAAAGTAAAGAAGTCTTAGAAGAAATTAACAGACATGAATATAGTATTAGTGTAGAAGCTTAAGTTTCTTTGTTGAAAAGTGAGTATGAGTGTATTATAATAAATATCATATAAATCAAGAAAATTAAGTTATTATAGAAGTAAAAATAATATGGTTGTATTATATTATTATTAATATTAGACTAATATATATTTAAATTTATATTAAAATCTCCTAAAAGAATAATTTAAAAGTTATCTCTCAGATTAACTTTGATGTATTTAAGAATTTCTTTATATAATTAAACAAGATTCTTTCTAAAAATAGTATCTTTATAAACATATAAGTAGATACTGAAGACTTTTAATTTGATATTATCTAAAAAAAAGAAATCAATATAAATAAAGTGATTATTATTTAAAAATATTTGTTGAATATAAATTACTTAAAAGCATTTAATTAAGATACTAATATCAGTATAGACATTAACTTTTGAGCTCTAAAAGTTTAAAAGATTAGTATCTTTTTATTATAAAAAAATTAATTGTATTTATGTTTTATTTCAATTAATCTAACAAAATCTATATTAAAATCTAAAAATATATCATTAACTAGCTGATTTTTTAATTTACATTATAAAGAATTAATATTATTAGAAACAAATGAAATTGTGGATGTGTTTTTTGAATTGGTTAATTTTTCATTTTTATAGTTAAGAAAGGAGGATGTATTATTATTATTATTTATAAAATTTATATTTGTATTATTAATCATAATGAAAATATCAAAGATTAAAGTGAAAAAAAATTATTAAGAGATTTTACTAGTGAAGTTAGCAATCTGAATCATCATTTCTTTTAATTGCTATTATTATTTAGCAATAATAATGTTCTATTCATTTATATAAAGTTAAAGTTTGAGATTAATAGTTTTGAGTCTAAAAGAACCACTTTTATCTTAATAATAAGTTAGTTATTCTTATATGTTTGAATTGCTGAGAATTAGAATTAGAATTGTTAAAGAAAACTTAAAAGACATAGTAAGTTAAGAAATCACAGAAGTAGGTTTAAGATTTAGTTGCAATTTCTTCAAATTCAAGATGCAGATATTCAATTATTTATTGTCTTCTACATACTAATAATATGTTAAGAATCTAGTTGAGTTTCTTATTTATTTTGTTATTGAATTTATTGATATTAGAATTATAAATTAAATTGTTAATAGTTTGTCTACCTTTATTATTATTAAATGAAGGGAGAGAATTAATATTTTGATAATCATTTCTTTTTTAATTAGAGTTTTTAATAATTAATGAATAAGATTTAACTGACTTTTAATAATTATAAAACCTTTATGCAGAAAGAAGCTTAGAACTAACTTTATTGATATTAATAGATTCATCTTTTGAAGTAGCCTTATTCTTAAGGATAATTGAATATTTTATAATAATATAATCAGTTGTGTCACATTTGTGATAATATTTAGAGTCTATAACATACTATTAGAGTTTATTATTACTAATCAACTTTGATTGTATTATTAAGAATGATAGCATTTTCAAAATAAAGAATGACAAAAGGTCTTAGTTTGTAATTATTTAAATATATAATATAAACTGATTTACTTTAGTTATTAAGATAATTTCTTGAAAATCATATGCAGAAGTCCTATAAGAAAAATTGATTAGTTTAATTTTGTGATCATTATATAAATTAACTTTTTTGCAATAAGATAAGCTAGATATATCCTGATACAATCATTGTAGATGTATCTAGATTATAAGAAGTAAAAATATTTGATAGCATTTGTATTATTAAATGTGATAAAAACAATCTATTATAAATTACAAGTATACATACAAATACTAGTGATCATTTCATATTTTTAAAAAATTGAGGAGAAGTTTTCTTATTTTGAGTTTAAATAAAGATTAATAGTTACTTTATAAACCTTATATTTCAGAAGTTAATCAATTTCTAAATCAGAAAATTTTATACTGAGTATTACTGCATTAATTCTTTATTATTAAAATAAATCACTGCTAATCTAATTATATTAATATAGCGAACGTTTAGCTCTTTAAATGCATTATTATAAGCAAATAGGTTATTGATTTTACAAATAATTTTCAGAATTAAGAGGTCTTTTGACGATTTTCTAATAGTTGAAGTAATAGCATAAAAGAAGGGATGAAAAATCATAATGAAATCATGATTGTTAGTTTCTGTATTATTATCATCTTTAATAGGTATATATTTGTCAGCATCAAAAATGTTAGGTAAAAGATTATCTTTAGTTCTTCTGCAATATCTTTATCAAAGACAAAAAGTTGTTTTAGTTATTTAAAAAAAGAGAAAAATCATTTGTTTCAGCTTGTTTTATAATAAGAAGGTTGTAATAATGAATATTTTTTGGTTTAATAATAATGATATGTTAATATTTTTTTCTGTTAAAAACTATTTTATAACTAAAAAATATATAAAAATCTTTTTTAAAGTATAAAAGTATTTTGTAAATATATAAAACTATGAAGCTAATTAACTGAACTTGTAAAAATATAATAAAAGTTAAAAGTGAAATAATATTATTTTTCTTAAAAAATTTCCAAAATTTTAGAAATAAAAGGAAAGGGAAGAAGAGTTTTTTCATTTGAGTTATGTATATAATTTTTGATTTCAATTTCAATACTATATAATATAAGCATAAATATATAATAGAAATTATGTATATCTGACAAATTGTTTGACATTTTTTCTATTTTAAATTTATCAGTAAATAGTGTATTAGTTGAATAATATTACTAACTTCCTAATTTTAATTAAGTTAAAGAATTATGACAGTGCAAGAAAGTAGAATAGAAAATGATTATGCAAAGTCTATATCTATTATAAAATAATAACTGAATTCAGCGGGAAATACAATTATCAGAAAATATAAATAGTAATTAAATTTTTCAAAGAAATTATCAAAAAAAAAAATCTATAGAAATCAATGAGGTAGACGCTAAAGAAATTGATAAGTCAAATGCTATTAATGCTATTAAAGACATTAAAGATATATCGTAAGTTAACAATTCATACAGCAATTTTGAAATCTTTATATGTGAATCAAATATCCATTTGATAACTCACCTTTTTTAACATTTCTTACACATTTCATAATAATCTTATCAAATTTGTTGATTGGTGCATGTGAACTAAATAACTTTCAGGTAATATATTATATGAAATAGCATCTGTTTAGGATAAGAATTATTATGAAGCATCTATTATTAGTTATGCAAATCTGAAAAGGGAATGGAAATAGATGATAGACTGAGCCAGGAGTGTTGGCCTTTTGAACTAATGGACTTTTGGACCATTGGATTATTGGACTACTGGACTTAATCCATTCAAATTCCATTAAAATTTGGACTATTGGACTATAGACTTCGTCCAACAGCTATAAATTTATATAAAATTTATATTATGTAAATCATTTTTATTGATATTTGTTAGAATTTTTTAAATAATTAAAAATATCTTGAAGTTTCCATTTAGAATTTTGAACTCAAGCAGGATGAGGTAAATTTGAAATATTTGTAATATTAATTAAGCTCTCTGTCACCTGAAAAATTCAGGTCGGGTCAGTAGAATCGTTCTAGTTGAACGATTTTATTATCGTTCAAATTTTTAAGTTAGGCTAGCATTATAAATTTGACCAAAATTATATATTCATAGTTCGTAAAGTTCACAAGGAACAATGCCTTTTTCATTGAAAGTAGATGGAGAAAATTTCGATACATTGACTTCCACCACGAAAACCCGAACATCAAATATATATTTTTTTGTTCTCCCTGACCACAAGAAGTGAAAGTGGCGATAAAGAAACAGACTGATGATATTGATGCAGATAAGCGAGACCCTAGAATCTTTGTGATGTGGATGGTGACGATCAGTGTTGTAAATTTTCTGTCCATAGTATTTTACACATGTCCAACACTATGTCCAACATTATTGTTCGTGACAACGCCGATGACGTTGATTATGTAGGCCATGAGAGTTTTCTTGAAATATATTTGAAAATCTTGTGAAAATCGAACTTTGATTAAATTTTAATACAAATATTTGGATATTATAAAACTATTCATTTCAGTTTTTAGTAACTTTGATTGACTAATTAAACTTGTATATTATATATTATCTAAAGTTGAATAAATGCTAATAATTCGAAAATCTAGCAAAGTCCTAATTTCCTGGTCTAGTCACGTCTGACATATAAATTGATTATCATTTAAAAAATATATTTATGATTCATACTGCGCCTAGTAATATGTGTAAATGAAATAAAGTTTCGGACCACAAATTAGGACAATGTATGCCGATCACCAAGACGTAGAAAAAGAGACTCGGTCCGCTCAAAGTAAATGTGATGATATTTTCATTTATTTTCAGACTCTAACCATTAGAAGAAGAATTGGAATCGGTTTCGATTTGTAGATTGTATTCCCTAATTTCACTTGACGTCTGCCATAATCATTATAAAAATATTTTTCTTTTAAACTTTAAGATCTCTTGAAGGTTTTGACCGCTACAAAGATTTTTATTTTAATAATAAATAGTGTAGACAAGGTTAATTGTAAAAACTGAAACGAAGTTCGCTTTTTCAAAAGAGTTTTATTCCGGTCGATCATGCTGTTCGCCCTATTAAATAAATCTCGATTATTTTGGGGGACAAATCTTGTGTTCGATAGGATCTATTACTACATACCAAATTTGGTTTTTTTAACGCGAAAACGTGTTACGTATCACAAACAAATCTTGATCTAGTTACATGTAAAAATGTTTATTCTATTGTTCAATAAAACTAATTGAGAAAGGAATTGGATTACGATGATTGCTAACCAAATCATCTAATCTGTTGTATGTTGGATTTGCTAATGAATTTGATGCTGCACTGTGCATTTTCTTTTTCGCAAAGCGTTTTATCTTTTTTTTTTCTTGATTTTGTAAAATTAAAACCAAATGATGAGATTTCTACAAGGATGATGTATATATATATCATTGATAAAAATTCAATATTTTTTAAGAGATGATTTCATAAGAAAGTTTATTTCTTTTTTTTAAGAATAGAAGCAATTAAAGTTGAAGAGTTAGATGCAAGTTCTTGGGATGCGGCTCCAAATACTGCAACTCTGATTTGCATCCCATTAAAAAATGACAAAAATACAAAGTCGCATGTACATGACGAAATAATTTGGTCAATTTGAATATTTGGCGTTATTGTAAGAATTTTTTTTTGAAATATATCGGCGATTGTTTTTTTTTTAATCATAATGTCGAATCACCGAAAGGCCACGTGTAACTCTGTGTACGATCATAATGCACCTTCTTTTTGAACATCGATCGTAAAAAGGATAATGAACATATAAGACAAATGCATCTCATCTCATACCATTCCTTTTTAATTACTAAAAGTTCAAAAGTGGTGATTGCTTATTTAACAGGTTATTATGAATCGATATTATATATCATTTCTGAATCGCATTTTTTGACGCGATCATCAGATGTTCAAATCGGATTTTGTATAAAACCTGAAGTTATACTAGTTATACTTTTTTATTCTTGAAATTTCGTTGCTTTAATCACATTCCTTTCGCCATCACATAAATAAAAGATGATTCGAACACATAATAAAGCGGATGAAAATTCACTTCGACCATCCCCTTTTCTACCAATAGAATGTTTACAAGAAATATTTTCCTATTTTCACGATGATACATTAATATTATCAAAATGTTTGCGAGTTAATAAATTTTGGTTTGAAAATGCGGCATCAATTCTTTGGAAATCACCCTTTGGACATTTACATACTCCTCCTTCAATAAAATTAATTGAAACTTGTTTAAAATTTCATGATGCTCGTTTAAAGAATGCATTGGCTCATGTTGGAATCCCTTTACCACCTTCCACTTCCTCTACATCAGAATTTATTTATGCACCATACGTAAGAGAACTTCGTTACAAAGGTTTATATGATGCAGCTTGTGATTTTATATTTAACAGCAGTGATTATTATGAACAAAAACGACATGGTGATAGCGATCGTCAAAAGGATTTAAAAGGGGAAAGACGATTACTCGCATTAGTCGGGGAGTTAAGCTTATTCTTCATTCGAAAATGTTCATCAATCGATGTAATATCATATGATACCGAAGAAATTTATTTTTACGCTCAAGATTTGTACTTGTCATCATTAAATTCACTGTCGGAAGCGTTTCAATTATTTAAGCGTGTCAAAAGGTTAACGATTGGGGGAAAATATGAAAAGGGTACTTTAATGAGTAACATGTCAAGGTTTTGCAAAAATCTTTTATCCTTGGAATTGAATTTTTATGAGTTTGATATGTATGATTTAGATGGTGATCAAAATGAACCCAACAAGATGTCAACCCTTTTATCGGTACAGAAGTCTTTACTCAATTTAACCGTTCGAGGTCCTTTTCGATTCTTATCAAATGTTTTGGCTCCTTTAAAGTCACAAGCGAAAACGTTGAGTCACATCGGTTTTGAAAGAGTTCGATTTAATAATCCTTTACCTTTGGAATCCGTTGCCACTTGTATAAATTTGAAGACTTTAATATTTGAAGATTGCGTGAACCTTCATGATAAAACTCTAGCACCTTTGGCATCAGCTTCTTTTCATCGATTAAAAAAATTGGTTTTTAAAAATGCGCATCAATTATATTTAGATAATTTGGCGAGATTAATTAAAAATACTCAAGGGTCACTTAAAGAAATAAGGTTTAGAAGACGTGAATTCAAAAATATGGTAGTGAGTAATGTACCGGATATCCCAGTTAAAGTGATAGAGGTTATTTCCCTGTGTTGCCCCAACCTCGTGATATTTGAGGGTCACGTAGAAAAGGAGTCCATGCCTCATTTTCTTAAAATTTACGCGTCAACATTTTTAGAAAAATTATTTATTTCCGTGGAATATAAAAATGGTGAATTCTTTAGATCTCAAGTAGCGTTTCAATTGCCCGACACCTTACGTCACTTATCAATCTCTACTAAGGATTACTTTTCCAGAAAAGACTTGGATCAATTTTTAACTTTATGTTCCGCTCCTTTAGAAAGTTTACAATTTCCTCAATCTTTGTATATCAATGATGATTATCTTGATTTAATTACTAAAAAGGTTTGGACTTTGAGGTTGGTTACCTTTTCAAAAAATTCCTTAATTACCGAAAAAGGGATTCAACGAGCTAGGAAAGTCATTTCTTTTGTGAGAAAGAATGGGGAAGAATATGTATGATTTAAGATTTGATGACACGCGTAATCAAATAGAAACGCTTATGTAATAACATTTATATGATGATTTATAATTTAGATTTAAATGATAGAAAATTCACGTTTCACGTGTAAATTTCATCGCGCTTTTTTTTATTTTTCTTTTTTTGTTATTCGATTCAATAGATATATAGATTTTTTTTTTTTTTTAAGGAACAAGGAACTTTTTTCAATACGAATTTTTTTTTTTACTGCATCAAGAAAAAAACTGTAAGCAAATATGAAACAAAATCATTTTTATCATTAACAAGTCCCTACGTTCCAATTATGAAATAGAATTTAACAAAGATGTTAATTTGAACACGTTTTGTATATCCCATTGTCAAAATTTTTTTATGATTTCCATAAGCCGAACATACTTAAATATACATTTATATATTCAATGCATATCTATTTTATGTTTTTATATGCTAGCAGATGTTGAATATTATTTATTGATTTCATTAATATGTCTACTTTAATATAATTTACACTAAATACTTATTCTATTAATCAACTATTTAAGTAATGTTAGAAATACTAGGTATGTAAATATATGATAATTTTGTTAATTTAATTTTTTTTATAAATCATTAAAAAACATTCAAATTAGAAGAATATGCATTAATATAAAAAAGTACGCATATATCATTGTCGTACTAATCAAGTAATAAATAATCATGATCAATGATCATATGATCTTTGTTATCACTTGGTTGCCACTAAATTCTTTTTTTTCCTTGTAAAAATTTTTGGTTTATAAGTATACATTATTTACATTATTTTCATTATGCCTTATGAATCTAGAACCTCGTTTGCTCGTAGCACTGGTTCTAATTCTAATCGTGACGACGGTAATGATGGCGATTACGGTTCTAACGGAGATGATAAGCCTAAACCACAATTTAAAGATGAGTGTTTCAGAAAGATGGAATTAATGATTGAATTGTAAGTATTATTTCAGGTTTAGAAAGTTTCTTTAAATATTGTTTTCATGTACAAATTTGTTTACTTCTAATAACATCAAGCACGAATCTTCGTAACCCAAAACATTGTCCAAACGGTATTTATGTTATGCCTTCTGCAGATAATTTTCATAGTAAGAAATTTAATGAATCATGATTTATTTGTTTATTGTATTCTTTAATTCATACTAATTATATATGACTTATTTTTCATGATATCAGCTTGGTATGGAGTTTTATTTGTTCATAAAGGATATTATAAAAATGGAGTCTTCAAGTTTAAACTTAACATACCTGCTGAATATCCTTTTACAAACTGATTTGGCAAATTAAATCTTGATCGTGCAAATTTTTACTGTCTGTCTTCATACAAGATATTATTCCTTAACATTTTCTTTTTACTTACCCGGAGCGTCCACCAGCAGTGACATTTATTTTTACCCTGATCAATAATATTGATGGTTTGTTCCATCCTCTTATTGATCCAAACACTGGGAGTTTCTCTCTTTCTCAACAATTCAAGGACTGGGTTCCGCATAAATATTATATTTTCCATGTGCTTCATTATATTAAGAAATCTTTTAAGAAGACCGTCTTGGATAATTTGCTGGAAAAGCATTGTCCGAATAAGAAAGCTTTCTCTACGTTAGTACAACATTGCACGTGTTATTTGATTAGTTTTAACGAGTTATTTAAATTGTTTCCTCTTGATTTTAGATATCATAATGAGATACGAACGTTTTCAGTATTGGCAAAGCAATGCGCTGACTTATCAATTTCAAAGACTGTCCTTTACGATAACAATATAGAAGCCAATCCAATTCAATTCTCTGTCTTACCAGATGAAAAACTAGGTAATAATTTATTACGATTTATTAAAGAAATCGAATTTTAATATAATATATGATGATAAAAATATTCAGACCTGTTCCGAGATTATCTTTGAAGATAAATATTATTGCCATTTTAATAGCTGATCTTATTTATTATATGATTGTTTGTATTTGATAATTGAATTTTAAAATATTGACATCATGATCATTTGTTTGTTTATAGATGAATTGAAGACCTTTATCAGTCCACCGGTAAAAAAAAAAAAAAAATTATTAATGATTAATTTAGCGTAATTTTATTGGGAAATCAAATCAATTAATTGCATTTAATATATTTTATAGGAAACCGAAAAAGGAAGGCCTAGCCACTCATCTCGCAGGACTTATTCTACGTCTTCAATGTCCTCTATTTTGCATCCATAGAAAATTTATTTTATTTAATTTATATCATAATAAAGGGAGTAAATGTGGGAAGTTTGTTTATAGCTTGTAGTTTATTGGTGTAAATTTCTTATTCTAATTCAATAAAAAAAAAAAAAAACTATCTTCTTTCCATAAATCGTTAATCGTTTTATCATTTTACATGTGCTTTTGGCAATTATGTCGATCAAGTGACATAAAAACGTCAAAAAGTGGTTCAAATCTTGTGTGACAATTAGGATTTCCCACCAACAAAAATAAATTTGTCCCCAGAATACTGAAATAACGGAGGGCGTGATAAATAAAAAGATGATCGGCATGTCATCAGAATATAGACGCGCGATTTTTAATTTTTTTTGTAGGTAAAAAATATTTGTCCCGATCCGTATGACATCGAATTAATTTACCATAATATTCTCTATTTTTCATTGACAGTTAAAAATTTAAAAAAAAAAAATTATATTTCAACAATTGCATTATGGAATAATGTTTTCCCATTATTTAAAAACTTTAAAGTTGCTCTACAAATGTAGTGTGAAATTGTATTTCTTATCCTAATTAAATCTCTGTTAAATCCGTTTGTGCATTGTTTGTACTATGACAATATTATCCGAACTTGTTTCAACAACTCCCCCCTTATTGAAGTGATATGATGTAAGGTTATTTTGGATCGTGACGTAACACACGTTATTTTTGGTGGTATATGAAAGTCAGCAATGAATCATTTTTGTCTCTAAACGTCACTATAGGCTCTGCCTCATCTCGTCATAAACTTTTTCCCACTTTCACTTTTTTCCCCCGTTTATTACAATTTTCAGAAGGGTCTCTTTACTTTGCGTCCAACACGTCCATTTTTATTTATATTTTTTTATTTTATTTTTTTTTTTTCTTTGGTTAAAGAAAGAAAAAAAAGCGTCTTTCCTGACGATTTATCGAAAGGGTAATAAACAGACTGGTTTTAACGGGGAAACAAGTTTATAACAAATAACCAAAAGACGTATCAGAAAAAATGTCAGTTGAATTAAAACCTCCAGGACAGTTATCATTTCATCGTACGTATGACTTAGCTTTGATGGGAGGATTTTGCTGCTTTATCAAACCTTTTTTCAAGTGGTCTTTTGGTGTGAGAATTTAATCAGCGTAGTGTCTTAAAAATAATCAAATTCCTATATCATTCAATCATGGTGGCGTATGCAGGACCTTTCACACAGCTTGTGAAGGAAATTCTTATCGTGCGTAATCCTAATCCAGAACCGGTAGCCTTTAAGGTTAAAACTACAGCTCCTAAGCAATATTGTGTTAGACCAAACTCTGGCCGAATTGAGGCGAACCAGAGTGTTGAGGTTCAAGGTAAATGACTTATTTCCATATTGAAGCATGTTTAGTTTCTGCTTGCTTTTGTGATATCAATATATATATATGTGTGTGATTTATTATAATTGAATATAGTTATCCTGCAACCAATGAAGGAAGATCCACCAGCAGATTTCAAATGTAAGGACAAATTCTTGGTACAAAGTGTGGCAATTTCACCTGAACGTGAAACATTAACTTTACAAGATTTGGTATGATATATAGATAATTTATTTTTTTTTTTATGGTCTTTGAAATTAATTTCGTGTTATTAATCATAAATAATTGTTGTAGTGGTCTACAACTGAGAAACAAGCAAAAGAAACGATTAAAGAAACCAAGATTCGATGCGTATATTTGCCCCCAGTTGAAGATAATTTACCCCCTGCATCACCACCTCCAAATCTACCACTTCCGCCTCAACCATCTATTCCCTCCCGCCCATCTCCATCAATCTCACAAAAAGAAACTGCCAATGGATTAACAACGGAGCCTGTAAAGGATGAAAAGGTATTTTATTATTATTTTTATTTTTATTTGTCATTTGCCTTTTTTTTAATCATAAATCCGTCGATTAAAATTTTATTTATCTTTTTCTAGAAAGACCAACTACAAGCATACAAATTACATGAAGATTCTAATGGACATAATAATATGGTTGGATCGTTTCCCGATCATACTAGATCTGCCGATGATGATAATCCCGCAAGGCTTCGGCGACAATTGATCGAAGCCCAAGAGGAAATTAAACGTTTAAATCATACGATTGATAATTATAAACAGGAGTTGAGTACAGCTCAAATGAGACAACGCAAGAGCGAGGAGGCTGCATCATCAAAGAGGAATAGTTCAATCGGTGGATTTTCTGTCAAGACTCAGGAGAAAATTCCTGAAGGATACTACCCATTTGAGGTCGTTATTGCGGCAGCTGTTGGGGCATTCTTGTTTGGAGTTATGTTTTTCTAAAGTATGTGGAGAATAATTTGAAGTTCGAATTTTTTGTTTGCTTAAACCATTTATTAATATTTATTACTTTTTAGCCTTTACTCTAATATAGATCCTTTAATTTTTCTTGTCACATTCAAGTAATGATTGATTATTAAAACGCAAAGAAACGTTAACATCATACTTGCCTATTACCATTTTTACTATATCTGACTCTTTATTTTTAATTATTATATTTTATCTTTATCTTAATAATATATATATTTTTTTTTCACTAACAAAAATTTCTTTTGAAAATCTCTTTATTTCCCTTCTTTATTAGACACTCCAAAAAAAAAAAAAATTCAATATTATAATTTGAAAATCTCAAAGCATTAATTGGCTTGCTTGTTTCTACCTATATTTCTTTTTTTTTTTTATGCTTATTTTGTGGGTTGGGACAGTAGATGATGTTAATTGTTGAATAGGAGGAGCCTTGAAAAATATATATAATATTTATACATATTTTTCTTCTTAATTTCTTTGTTGGTTGTTGAAATTGTTTTAATTTATGAAATTGGTGTACAAATAGTCTATAGCAGATATATTAATTAATAAGCAAAAAGATCTGAAACGGAGTTTTTGATCGTCGTCGATTCTGTAGTTATACAACATTTCCATGTGTGGTTATTTCATAATGGTAAAAGTTGACCTTTTTTAAAAAAACTCGTTGAATCAGGAAATCGATTTGTTCCCCTAAAAATATCTGGTACGCCCGTCGGACGTCATGTGATAAACAAAATTTAAACGTGTTTTTATAAAGATCTTCCTTTTACATTTCTGCATTAAAAAATTTTATTTTTATTTTTTTTTTAAAAAAAAAAAATACACATACTTTTATATAATATATAATGAAAACCTTGAAATTATGTCCACAATTAACCAAAGACTATATTTCATTTTATGAGAACGAAAAGACGAGTGCGGATGTCATAATTCGCGTAGGAAAGGAAGAGAATGTTAAAGACTTTCACGCACATTCCTTCGTCCTTGCTGTTCGATCTCAATACTTTCGTAAAGAGATTGAAGGGATGAAAGATAAAAGGAAGGACGAAGAAGGGGAGAAGGGAATCATCATCGAAAAACCCGAGGTTACCCCATCATTATTCGAGTTAATCCTGAAATATTATTACGGAGGGAACCTTTCGTTTGATGAGAATAATTTCAAAGAAACTTTTGGTTTACTATTAATCTCGAAGGAATTCGAAATCATCGAATTATTGGAACTATTGGAGGATCAATTATTAAACTCACCGAATCAAATTCATCAAAATTTTAGTACCACACTACAATTATCATTGGAATCATTTAATAAACTTTATGAATTCTGTTTGAAGACGATTCAAGAACGACCCGAGATCATTTTTAAATCCAAGGACTTTCACTTATTAAATGAGGATACGTTATTCACCCTCTTGCAAAATCAAGGATTAACTATTAAAGAGGTTGAAAAATGGGAATCCATCATCAAATGGGGGATTCATCATAGTTTTACGACACCTACGATTGATTATAACACGAGAATCCCGGATGTTACGTTGTGGACAAAGGATAAGTTTAGAGATTTGGCGAAGACGCTTCAAAAGTTCATTCCGTTGATCGATTTTCATAAGATTGAACCGGAAAATTTTTATGAGGAGGTCAAACCATTTAAAAAGATTATTGATAAATCACTTTATGATGAGATACTTAAATATTATATAGTGTCTTCCAAAAAATCCAATGTGGACAATCCTAAACCGGAGGTACCAACCTCAAACGTTCACATAAGGTTAAGTTCGGTATTAATTGAATTGGATTGCTTTCAATTACTTATAAATTGGATAAACGAGACGATACCAGGCACCTCTTTAAATCGCTACAAGTTAACCTTATTATTAAAAGGAAGTGCGAATGGCTTTACCGCAAATACATTTCATGGGATGTGTGATAATAGAGGCGCGACGTTAACGGTCATTAAAATCCGTGGTTCAACAGAAATAATTGGTGGGTATAATCCCGCTAGTTGGAATCAATCGTTATACATTAACGAACCACTTTCCATAATAAGGGAAAGTTTTGTATTTAAATTAAATCAAAAAGATATTCGTCAATCGATCGTTGGTAGACCCGTCGCAGATGCCGTTTATACGATTGAAAATCATCCTAATAATGGTCCTTGTTTTTATGGTGCTTTGTATATTAAAGGAGGGAGTCATGGGGATTTCAAAAGGGACATGCTTTGTTATTGTGATGGTGCGAATTATGGGGTTCAACTTAGAAAAACAAACAGTACATTTAGTGTGGATGATTATGAAGTTTATCAAGTAATCAAGGAATGATTTATTTAATTAACCCTGTCTAACCAAAATAAGTTGGATTGTTTAAAAAGTCAAAAATAAGATTTAATCGTTTTCGTTGTGTCGTCATAATAAAATCATTCTAAATATTGATTCGCCTTTTCAGCCACAAAAAAAAAAAATCATTAATAACTGGCACCGCCTCGTTCTTATCATCACAACAATTTTTAAAGTAAATATGGTGTCGTTAACTATAAGTTTGCCAATAAAGGATTATATATTGTTTTAAGCTTAAAGAAGAGACAAGATCATCAAAAAAGTTTGTAAATCATGTAAAATTTATCATACACGCATATCAAGAAAAGAAAGTTGATGGACAATAACAATGATAATGTAAATGAATTAATTCATTAATATTAGATAAATCCATTTTCACCGATAACACAATTAATTATAACATAATACTATACTATAGCTAGAATATTAAATTTGAGATTGAGGTAGATTTTATTAAGATAAAGTATTATTTTTTTTATAAAAATACCAGTATTATATTCTTTTATCACTATATTTAAGTTGCATAATAGTAATTCAAAATCTGAATTTTTTTTTAAAAATGGTATGTTAATATTATATTGGATCTTAATAAATTATTATTGTTATAAAAGAGTAGTATTTTATAAGAAATAATATGATAATAATATTTCATTTTTATTATAACAAAAAAGCAAAGTAATAGGTAATAGATCAAAAGATAATAAATAGTTCTTTATAATATAAATTTATAATATAAACTTAAATGTTTTATATATAATAAAAAGTAATAATATTATTGAATTAATTAAATAAAAGATAAAAGTTAATAATAAAATTATAAAATTAATGAAATAAAAAATATTAAGAGTTTATAAGATTTTAATTCATTTATTATTATAAAATCCTTTTTTTATTATAGAATTTTCTTTTTTTTAAGATTTTATAAAAGTTTATATTATAAATATAAATTATCAAAACAATTAATATTATCTAATCAATTTTTATTAAAATAGTTAAATATTACTATAAAATTAAAAGAGTTAAAATAATCAAAAATTAACTTTAAATAAAATATACTATGAAATATTATTTATAAATTAATAAGAAAGTAGACATATCGGTACTATAGGGTTATAACTATTAGAGTTAAAAGAATATGGTAATACAGTACTGCCGAATGCTGTAAACCGTAGGTAGATTCTATAAAAAGTTAGTATAACAGTAAGCATGTGAATTATTATAAAAAGATCAATAGAAAAAAAATATTCAAATTTTTTTAAACTTATTCAACCCGTTCAAATATAAAATAAAAATATAAAATTTTTTTAAATTCGTATTTTTTTCTAATAACATGTGTTTCATTCGTCGCGTTCAAATTAACTATGGAGAAAAATAATAAGCATATTAGTGATACTAAAAATATATCAAAATGACAAAAAACAAACAAAAAGGGTGGTCCTAAAAGAGATGAAGTATGGGAATATTTTATCATAGACGATGAAAAAAATGATAGACACTATCTTGCTACTTGTTATCATTGTGAAAAGAAATGGCAAAGGAGTAAACCAGAAATTTTAAAAGCTCACCTTTCTAATGAATATTTGCAATGTCCTGAAGACATTAGCAAATTTTGACAAGATAAACTTTCTACTGAATTAACAAATTATACCTGTAAACAAAAAAACTATAATTTAACCACCATTAAAACAATATCAAATAACTCAACACTTTAGCTCAGATAAACCTTTACCACTAGCTATAACTAAGCGAATTGACCGATCATTACTGAAAGCATGGGTAATGGTAGGAATTCCTTTTGAAGTAATCAATAACCCTTTTATTCGTGATCTATTTTAAGAACTTAATCTAAGATACACTCCTCCATCAAGAACAACATTGTCTGAATGATTATTGGATCAAGAAGTCACTCGAGTTTCTCTGAATATTAAAAAAGAATTGAAATTCTCAGACCATCTAACATTAAGTAAATTTCTGAGTTTTAATTTTAAAAAATTTGTATTTTTTTATTGAAAATTATATTATATATATTATTATTAGTGTTAAATAATTTTTATATATAATTTTATTTATTTTTTTTATTAATAAATTATTTTATATTTAATAAATTTTAATATT